CTGCAAACTCCAAACATCTCTGTGAGCACAGGTAATAATTTACCTCCTACAGGAGCCTTGGTTTGGAAATCTCCTGAGGAGGTGTCAGCCAAAGGGAGCTGTCACATCCTCTTGTGCAATACATGAGGGGAACAATCACACTGGGACACCTCCTGCCCTGTCACTCACGTGTTTGATCCCAAAGGTTACAGGCCAAGGCTTAAGGAAGAATTTTAGAGCCAATCTTGTGTTTGGTGTGATCAAAAAAGGCATTTCCAAGGCAGGGTCTCACCGTGAGCACAAAGCCTGGGTGGATCCTTGCAGAGGTGATCTGCTGCTGCTGGCTGATGTAAAGGAGGATCCTGTACTGGATTCCACAAGGAATTAGAAAAGGAAAAAGAACAAAAACAGGAGCTCAAAACCTCTCCAATTCTAAGGTGCTTTGTCACACACAGAGCCTAAGGCTCAGTATTTATTTGTCAAGTATATCACAGCAAAAATACTTGACACAGTTTTGTGGCACTTATTAAAACTGGTTTATTCTCAAGGGTTTTATTCAGCTGCACCAACCAAGCAAGCAAAACTCATTGTTTTATAATAAACAACATGCTTTAACTAATTCCACATTTTTCACAGTTACAGTGGAAAAAGATGGTGCACTAACCCTTCCAGACACAGAACTCACCACACATGGCATCAAACCATCACAGAGTTATTTAGGCTGGAAGAGACTGAATGATCCAAGATCAACCCCCCAGCCCTGCCAAGGTCACCAGTGACCCATGTCCCCAGTGCCACATCCACAGGGCTTTTAAACCCCTCCAGGGATGGGGACCCCACCACTGCCCTGGGCAGCTCTGCCAGGCCCTGACCACCCCTTTGGGAAAGGCATTTTAACTCAAGAGGTTTGTTTGTGAAATCTTTGCATCAACCTATTGACACAACACACTGAGCTGGAGGGAGTTTTCCAAGTATTAAACAACACAGATATGAGATTTATTGACATATTTGGCTCTACTAAACATAATTATTATGGAAATGTGTTTCCCTTTGTGCACCTGCATTGGACACAGCTCAGGGGTGAAGTGGGAGTGAAGCAGTGACTGCTCCTAGCTGGATGTGATACCACACAGGCAGCCTGAGGAAAGCTGCTTCAGCTTCCTCTTGCACTGCCTGCCCTCCCCAGCTCCCCCAGAACAACAGCTCAACACTTCCCACATCACTGACTCAGGAATTCAGTTACCAAACTAAGATTTATTTTGTTCTTGTCGAAGAAGCAACTTAATGAGACATGAATGAGGACTTGGGGGATGTGAAACATCACAAATACCAACACCAGGGAGGGGTGAGACTTTGCAAAGTAGGTTTCAAACACACCAAGTTACTGGGCACCTCAGTTCTGTGTTCTTCAAGGAACACTTGGGAAGGAAAGATGTTTTTGAAACCAAAAGAACAAAATTTAAGCAAAGCATCTCTGTACTGCTGGACAGAACTTTCCTTTATACCCATTCCCATGTGCACAAATACTTGATCCAGCTGTAAAAGACATTCTGAATAAATACCAAAATGACTGCCAGAAACACTGCAAACTATTTCAGGCACGAGTTGTAAGAGATCTTACAAACTCTCAGACTGCAGGAAAGATGTCACCATGGTGGATGGCTGAGCCCCAGGAAATCCCAGGAGGCAGAAAGGCAGCAGGAGAACAACACCAAAAGCAGAACACCTGGAGAGCTCACCAAAACACCATCTCACAGCAGTGAGCCCTCAGCAGGGCAGGGTTAGGGAAGGAAGTGTCTCTCACCTCTTTGGTGGTGTGGTTCCCCACTACAGCTGCTCCATACTTGCCTTGCTTCAAGTACTGCCCATTTGTACTGGAAGATAAGGGAGACATTCAGCTGCACAACTGCCCCTAAATCAGAATTCTTTAGAGTTCAGATCCCTTTTCCCAGATATAAAATGTCAGGCAGCCTTGCTTAGCTTAGAGCCATTCCTGCTTGCCCACAGACAAGAGCACACATCGTGGAGTGAGCTGAAAACTCCTCTCACAGATCCAGGGCAGAAACATTTCCCCATCAAACAGTTTGAGTGCTCTCACTCTGCTCATGCCTCAATTCTCAAGTGCATGAACCACCAGCATCTGACAGAGCAGGATCCCAGCCCAGCAGCCAGGACAGAGCTCCCAGGCACAGCCAGACCCAGAGCTCACGCTTTACCTCAGAACTGCCCCACCAGAGCAGCACAGCAACTGAAACTGCTCTTGAGCAGAAACTTCACTGCCTTGCAGCATTCCCACCATGCAGATACACTGGCTGAAAACCAGTGTCTCTTCCCATTTATGCAGGAATACTCCCCTCTGGGATCAGGGACAGGCTGCAGCAGGAATCACTTACTATCGATAGGCGAGCACGGCCGTGGCTGCCAGCACTGAGGGGGCTCCCGAGGCTGCCGGGGCCTTCTGGGGCTGCCCTGTGGGGACAGAGACCAGGGACAGCTCTCAGAGGCACAGCACGGGCTGGGGACACCACCACAGCACGCTCCTGCCCACCAGGAGAAACAACCCTGTGGGATCTCAGCACAGCAGTCCTGATGTGCAGAGTCACCGAGACCACCCTTGGGGGGCTCAGAGGTCCTGGAATGTTGCCAGAAGTGTCTGGTGGCTGGACTTTGATCCTGCACAGGAGACGACACCTGTATGAGGATGGGAGAATCACACGGGGATAAATGGTGAAGGGATAGGTTAATTATAGTGTGAAACACAGGTTTTAGAATTTCAGTACAGGGGGGTTCTAGGGAGACAAGATGGAGGAATGGACAGGGTGTGTCCTGTCCTTCTTCTTCTGTTCGTCCATCTTCTGTGGTGGTGGTGGCACGTTGGGATTGGCTCTTACTAAAAGTGCACTTGTCAATAAGGGTGAAAGGTATTGGGGAGAAAAGGTAAATATCTTATACGTAGTTTTGGGTATAAAGATAAGTGACCGCCCCAAGGGATCTCAGTGTGCTCATGGCTGACGTGCTGTGCTCTGTCGGGCCGAGAGAAAATCTTGTAGATAAAAACTAATAAACACTGAAGACCAAGAAAAAACCTGAAGACTCCTTTTGTCCTTTGGAGCGCGGGCTGTCCCAAGGCCATCCCGAGCCTTTCCAGGCCATCAAAAACAGCCAAGAACGGGACACAACCCCAGTGGGAATTACAGAGAAATAAAACCTTGAGTTCCAAATCACCCAGGGCCAGGAGGAAAACACCCCAAGGAAAGCTCAGGGAATTGTTTGCTCTGCTGCTCCTCACACACACATGTGCTGCTGAGTGTGTTCCCCGTGCTCAAGCCCAGTTACTCACCAGCTGCTGTCTGACCCTTCTTGGGCTGCTTTGGTGCAGTGAACTGGAAGAAATCATTTCCCTGGCTTGAGACTGTTTGATCCAGGCCAAAGAGAGAGGCTAATCTGGCTCTAGAAAGGGAAATAAAACCATTTAACCTTATTTAACATCGGCATTATACATAATGCACACTCTTAACTACAAGTTTGATCAAATACAAAGTGTTTGCCATCACTTTGGGGCTGCAGGCTAAGTTGCTTTATGCTAATTAACCATTTAATTTTGAATAGGCAGAACTTGTATATGAAGATGCTGGGAAAGTAGCTAAGTTATGTTTCATTTCCTCAAAAATCAACTGAAGGTGTAAGAACTGAAACTACACAAAAAAATAGAAGTTACTTTGAAGCAATGACTAGAACTAGCTTGACGTAAAATAGCTGATTCTTACAATAGCCAAAATAATAAGTGACAGAGAAACCACCATTCACCTCCTGGAGTTTTTTGTCTTTAAATGTCCAGGAAACAGATTCTCCCATTAAGTTTTAAAGTGGCAGAAGCTCTCCCAGCTACGGGCAGAGGGTTTAATGCTGGAGGTTCCTTCAGGACACGTTGTTTGCAATTTCACTGCTTCAAGGCCAGTTCTACTCAATCTATTGCTGATATCACGGGGCAAGGGAATAAAAAACCAAAAGATGACACCACTGCCAGTGAATGTCCTTTAAAAAAATAACTAAACTTCCTATAGAGAGGATTAGCTTATAAGAGAAGCTCCTGGAAGGGGGTGTGGAGTGGAACTGCAGCTCTTGGAGCGGGAAGAAGTCGGCGATCCAAACCCGGGATGTGCCGCACACAGCCCCGACCCGGGGGGGTCCCGGGAGCGGCCTGGTAGGAGCCAGAGCCGGGCACGGCCCCGGAGCGGCTCCGCCAGCACTGCCCGCCGCTCCTCGTTAAACTGCGAACACCGAGCGCTCTGCCCCGGGACCCCGGAGCGGCCCCGCCAGCACTACCCGCCGCTCCTCGCTAAACTGCGAACACCGAGCGCTCTGCCCCGGGACCCCGAAGCGGCTCCGCCTCCCCCTGCGGGAGGGTCCCCGAGTCCAGCGGGGTCTCAACCCCCAGAGCCCGCCCCGGGCACAGCCGGAGCCGTCCCGGGCTGCCCGTACGGCGCTCCCGCAGCGGGACAGGAGCGGGGCACAGCCCCGGTCACAGGAGGGCAGCCCCGGGCCCGGCTGCACAGAGGGCGGCCTGCCCGCCCTCACGGCCGCGGGCCTTCACCGGGGCCACGGCCCCGCGGCCTGTCCGAGCCGCCGCGCCCACCCGGCGGCAGGGAGGGGGTCCCGCCGCGCCCCCGGCGCTCACCCGCTGGCCGGGGACAGGAAATCGGCGTCGTCCTCCTCGGCCGCCGCGAACATGGCCAGCGAGCGCCGGGGCGGGGGCGGGCGGGCGGCGGCGGCGCTTTACGGCCGGCGGCACCGGCACGGGAGGGGCGGGGCTTGGGCGGGACGTCACAGGGGGGCGGGGCCTCAGCGACACAGCGTGGGATGGAGGCGTGGCTTAACTGCGCAGAGGGGCGTGGCTTGTATGACACGTCATCGGCGGAGTTTTGATGGACACTTGGAAAGAGGCGAGGCTCAGTGGGCACGGCCGAGGGCGGGAACTTGGGGGGCTTATGGGTCCCCGGAGGGGGCGGGGTTTAGCGGCGGGGGCGGAGCAAGGCCGCGGCTCGTGGCGCTCGCGCGGTGAGTGACGGACGGGCTCGGGGAGGTCTCGTGCGCCCCGCGCCCCCCACCGCATCCTGCCTGAGGGGCCCCATGGCCGCCCCCCCTCCCTTCCCCTCAGGACGGGACCGGGGAGCTCGGGCCGGGGCCGCCGGGGGTCCGAGGGGATGGGCAGCCCTGGGACGTGAGGGTGGAGGCGCGGGGTGAGCTCGGTGTGGGTGCCGGCAGCGCTCCCCGCGCTCCGGGGGAGGCGCTCAGGCCGCCCTGCGGTTCCCAAGGTGACAGCGGGCCCGGGCTGCCCTTGCCGTGAGGGAGCCGTGACCCGCCGGGCTCCGGGCTGAGCCGCAGGGCCCGCACGGCTCCGCTCAGGGCCCTGGGGCTCCGCGGGGCTCGGGCGGGAGGGCTGGGGACGCCCGGGCGCTGCTCTGCTCTGGTTCTGTCTCTGGGTACCCAAGGGCACCAGCCATGCGCTGCGTTCTTTACATCCCAATAGTTCCTTGCCTCTGAGCCGCCCCTCTGAAGCAGTTTCCCACGTTTCTCTCGCACCTTGATAAATACATCTTATTGTTGGTTTGCTTAATGAATTTTTGTAGTCTATTGTGGTTTTCCTGTGTGGTTTTTCGCCCTCTTGGAGAGCTGATATCTCTATGTGCTTTGTGAGACAGGCTGGCTTTAATTTCACCTTAGACACAAATGATGTTGAAATGCAGAAGAACAACGTGCAGGAGGTCAGAATGGCAATAAGGGCTGATATTTCCTGGCTTTGGGTGTTTGCTGGCACTGGTTGGAAGTTTGCACTGACTGGATGTTTGAGTCTGAGCAGGAAATTGCCAGGTCTGTTGTGGAGCTGAGTTGCACTAATTCAGGAGTTTATTGCAATGATTGAGATATCAATGATTCCACTTCTAAAGGAAGAAGATAAAGGATATTGTTAAGCAGGGTATTGTTATCTCCTTTTATATTGCAGAATGTGTGATGAATTTAGAAGGAAACCTGAAAAGGGTCAGCATCTTATTTCTGTTAAAGAAAACCAAAAGCCAAACCCACAATAATTTGGTGTAAATTCCCAGTGGGAGTAGATTGTTCTCAGGCAGGTGGGCATGAATTTCCTTCCAATGGGAAATGTGCTCCCTCGGATGAAGGGAGTTTGTTGCTTTGGCTCCTATATTTCTGTCTGGCTGGTTTTGTTTTTTAAGTGGTGAGGACCCATGTGGCTCAGTCCTGGTGTGGCGCTTCAATTTAGGTTTTTTAGGTACAGGAATCACAGAATGTCCTGAGCTGGAGGGACCCACCAGGATCCCCCAGCCCAGCTCCTGTCCCTGCCCAGCCCCCCCAGCAGCCCCACCCTGGGCACCCCTGGCAGCGCTGCCCAAAGGCTCCTGGAGCTCTGGCAGCCTCGGGGCCGTGCCCATTCCCTGGGCAGCCTGGGCAGTGCCAGCACCCTCTGGGGGCAGAACCTTGCCCTGAGCTCCAGCCTGAGCTGCCCTGGATTAACCTGAGGCCTTTCCCTCAGGACAGAGCAGAGCCTGAAGCTGCCCCTCGGGAGGAGCTGCAACCCCTGCTGAGTTCTGCCCTCAGTTTCCCCTTCAGGATGAACAATCCCAGTGCCCTCAGCTGCTCCTGGTGTGGCCTTTTCAGACTCTTCACCTTCCTAGCCCAGTGTTATACCTGTGTACATTTCCATTTTTTTTTTCTACTAGGATTCAGCACTGGCCAGTTTTAATGCCATTGTGGGGAAGAGGCTGTAGCAGCACAACCTGCAACACTCAGCAAGCATCACATCTCAGCCACTTGCCCTTTTTTTTAATGTATGCTTTGTTTATAATCCTCATTTGTATTTGAGTGTGCAGTGGGCTTGTGGTTCCACTCAGTTCCCAGGCAGAGGCCAATTCTTCCTGTTTGTGCTCAAACTCCAAGCTCCACAATGCTTACTAGTCCTGCTTTTTGTGCCCAGGTGGATGAAACGCTCTTCACAAGTGTTTATTAAGTTGATTTTTCAGTCTGTTTGATCTTAACTTGCCTCTGCTTGAGCCTGAGGTCAGCAAAGCTTTTGCAGGATTTTTCATGAGTAACAATATGGGATCTTACAGGGTAAGTTAGCATTCAAATTAATAATCCCAAATCCTGGCATTTATGATGTAATGTTTCCTGAGGCTTTCACCAGGCTTTGGACTCTGCAGTATTTTTTCCCATCCTTCATTAAAAATGGGGCACTGGGAATAATGTGTGAATGTTGCTGTTAAATGAAGATTGGTTTTGTATCTCAGGATTTATTGGTGACTGCTCTGCTGTACATTACAAAATTAAAGTGATGCTTTTTGCTGCAAACACAAAAATTGTTGCAAGAAGCAGGATTTTGCTTCTTTTGTTCTCCTCCCCCCCCAAAAACAAGGTACTGAAAATATAAGAACTGGCAGGAGTTGCAGGCTTCCACACAACTTTGGGTTGAGAATGGAGGAATTTTTTACAACCACTTCCTACTCAGATTTGGCTGCTTTTCATTTCATATCAGATTTCTCATCTAGGCCAGGTTGGTAACTAAGCTGAGAATTAGGATAATTTCTGCCAGTAGAGAGGAGGAGTTAAATCACCTTTCCAGGCACTTTTGCATGTTTTCTTTTTTATTTTAAAGCTGTCCTCCCTACCACTGACTCTGACTTGCAATGCTACAAGGACAAGGTTTGTGGGGTGTTTTTTGTCATGGAAAGAGGTTTGAGGGGTTTTTTCACTTCACTTTTCCCTTCCCAATGTAACTTCAGGATTTGGATTAGTGTGACCCTGTGCCCCTGAACCAAAGCTTAATGCCTGAGAGGGGAGGGCATTGAGAATAATCTTTGCCAGTTTTCCATTACAAATAAATGACAAAATCTGCCATGTTCACAGGGTGAGTTTTGAGCAGGGCCCTGAGGAGTTTCCTTTCAGCTGGCTTTTTTTCCATTCAGGCATTAGGTCCAAGAGAAGACAGAACTTTTTATTCTTTGAACTAAATGAGCTATTTTCTGCTTTCCTCCTCGGTTTCTCTGTTTGCTGTGAAGACCCCTCTACCCAAGAGAAAGCTCCATGGCTTTCCTTCCCTGCTCTGGCCTGAAGGTCACCTGAAAGTTAGCAGGAGCCTGCAGCAGAACTTTGGGAAGTTGGGCTGAAGCACATTGCCAGCATGAACTTCTTTCTCCACACAGCTCTGCCAGGAAATCACTGGGAGTCTTGGCAATTTTTCCTTAGGGAAGGATGAAAAAGACTCAGTCTAGTTTATCTTGTTTTTTCTCTGGGAAATCCAATCTTAGTTAATCCACTCCATTGCCTTTTGTTTCAATCTAATTTTCTGGAAATGTTCCCAATCAGGTCCTGGAGAACACGATGCCAGTGGTTTTTTCATTAACCTTTTTTTCATCTGAAAGCTGGAATCTGCTAATGCAGAGAATAATGGGACTAGTTATTATAAATAAATTAAATTCCTATTTTGCTGTGCTTTCTAAAGCCTTTCATTTGTTGGTCCTGGAATTAGATTTTCCTGGTTTAGAAGCCAATCTAGAAGTGGGAGGTTGTGATGAAATAGCTCCTTTTCAGTTTTCCTTTTTTATTTCCAAGTTTTTAATGTCATTTCCCATTGTCTTTTCTTCCCTGTGCTATCAGTTTATATCTACAAAGGTCTCCAGCTGATTTCCAGTGGCACTTCAGCAATGTGACTGCAGCCAGAACAATGGCTTTGCTTCCTGCTCTTTTCCTCTCTGTGGGTATAATCTTAGAAAAATCTCACATTTGCTGTAGCACAGATGTAAACAGCATTTATCATCTGCTAAAACAGTTGTACGAGATTACAAAAGTTGTGATCTTTTCCTTTTATCTAAGTGACTAGAGCAGTCCATGGTGGCTCTAGAGCACAGGCCAAATGCTCTGAGTGGTTGAGGCTCTTCTGTTCTCACTGCTTGCTGTGAATCCTGAGAGAGATTCACAAAAATCTCTCTCAGAAAACTGGGAGAAAACTGGGATCAGAGTGGAGGTGTTCTGGCATGGAGCTCACAGTGAGTGCCCCAAGCTCTCCTGAGACTCTGGAAGAGCCACTTCACTTCCATAAAGCCTCTTTTTTCCCACACTTACTCATTAGTTATCATGGGTTCAGATCTCATTCTCTGATGAGAGCTTGGAATATGAGCTTTGTGATATATTTCGCTGATTTTCTGGCTAACCAGGATAAGGGGAACCCTGGCAGTCTTGGCTGGTTTTTGTGCCTAAGCACTGCATCTCTTGGGGGAAGGAGTGCCTGGCAGATGCACTTTCAGACTTGTTGCACATTAGACAGAACATAATGGGCCCTGGCTCTGTAGGATTAAGAAGTGCTTTGAGGCCACCTGTGAGGTGCAGTGCTCATCCTGAGTGTGAGCAGACTGGCTGGCCTGCTCCAGAGAGCTGGGAAAAGAGCTCCTGGGAAGGGAAACAGCTGCAGCCTCCTCAGGGAGAGGCTCATCCCTGGGACCCAGCTGCTCCTTGTCTGCTGTCTCTGATGGGTGGCTGCACCGTGCTGGGACAGTGACAGCAGCTCTTGTCACCCTGGCTGGGCTGGGAGCAGAGATCCCACCACTCACTGGCTTCCCCATTAACCTTCCCTGCTCCAAAAGCCTTCCACTAAAGAGGCTCAGGCAGCTCACTGGCACAGCTGCACTGCATTTTTAGCTTTTACTTGGGAAGGAGAAACACAAACATGGAGCAGACTCAAAGCTCCCAGTGGAGCCATCCCAGCTCGCTCTCCTGCAGCCTGGGGAAGTCACTGCAGTGCTGCCATCAGTGTGGCTCCATGGGAGGGCATTTCCAGTGGGTAAATCAACCCTTGGACATCAGTGATAAGGGAAGGGGGAGCACAAGCTCCAGAGGAGCACACCCAGCCTCGGGGTGCAGTGCAGGTGAAATGCAGTCAGTGTTGCAGTCTGGTTTTCTTGGATCCCGTGTTTGTCTGAGCTCCTGGACTAATGGATTTGACAAGAGACTGAGTCATGATTTCTGGGTTCACTGCCAGGTGAGTTTTA